TATTATTATTATTATTATTATTATTATTATTATAATTATTATAATAAGAACTTCCACTACAAACGAAACGGAAATGTACATATACAGAAAGTAATGTATTATGTACATTGAAAACGTGCACTTAGAAATCCACAAATATCGGAAATTCTTAGTTGTCCAGTTGTTAATGGGCAAATGGTATAGGATGACACTTATAACATTCGGTGATTATTTCCTGTACATATATATAATGTAGGTAATTATAATACCAGAACTGAGGAATGCGTTTTAAGACTCAATGCTGCAGTTGATTTTCAATGAATACTGAACGGCGTAAACAATTGTATATGTAATATTGTACGAATTAAATCGCGTGACCGTGCATTACTGAAATTGTAATAATATGCAAAATATTAATACGAATAAATGTTTTGATCGTTATGATAGACCTTTTATTTAACAATACTAACCCGGCTTCGTATCCATATAATAAATGATCTACTTTTTACTTACGTCACAATTTCTACTGACGGGCTTACGATTACACATACAATGATTGAAAAAAATGGTTAGGGAGTAGAAATTGTTACGTGAACTGAAATTGGATCATTTACTATGGCATATGTTATTATTTATCTTGGATGGAGGAACAACATGAAGGATAACAATAATTAATAATTGCATACAAAAAATATTACAAAAATTTACTCATTACGCATTAACAAGTTTATTTTACAATCCTTTTTTACAGATATATTATCACAATATGTACGTGTGAATTTGTGAGAATCAATTACGTCTTTATATGTATAATAATTAATCAAAACAAAAATTGAAACTCTTGGTAAGCACATCAGGCAAGAGTTATATTTTTACTCAATTGAAAACTAATTAATATGTCATATCTTTTTCTGTCCGAACTTAAAAGTTTTCTGTGTTCATAATACAATAAATAAAAATAGTAGATGTATTTAAAATGATTCTAAGGATTATTTAGACATATAAAGATCGTGCTAAATCTATTGATTTAATCCATATTGCTCTATTATACATGATTAAATTATTTTACGTTTGGTACTGATACCAACGTAAAATAACTTTGAAAAGAGTGTTCAAAATGAATGCATATAAAATACAGAAGCTCACGAAAGCATTCGGATACAAACAAAATAACTTTTTTAATATTGGGCTAAGCAGCATATTAGATTGGCAAATAAGTTCATTCGGTTTAAGTAGATTAATTCGAACCATTATCGATAGAAATATACCCCAATCGTTGCAAGAGCTTGTTACGGCACTCAGTATCACATACGAATGTAGAAAATTAATCTATCCAGTGTGTTAAAGAAATTGTATTTCATCCTGCACTAAGAAACCGAACGAATTTATTTGCAAAACCAATAATTTTCTATGGGATGCTAGAAAACTTAATTTACACTCATTACGCATTAACAAGTTTATTTTACAATCCTTTTTTACAGATATATTATCACAATATGTACGTGTGAATTTGTGAGAATCAATTACGTCTTTATATGTATAATAATTAATCAAAACAAAAATTGAAACTCTTGGTAAGCACATCAGGCAAGAGTTATATTTTTACTCAATTGAAAACTAATTAATATGTCATATCTTTTTCTGTCCGAACTTAAAAGTTTTCTGTGTTCATAATACAATAAATAAAAATAGTAGATGTATTTAAAATGATTCTAAGGATTATTTAGACATATAAAGATCGTGCTAAATCTATTGATTTAATCCATATTGCTCTATTATACATGATTAAATTATTTTACGTTTGGTACTGATACCAACGTAAAATAACTTTGAAAAGAGTGTTCAAAATGAATGCATATAAAATACAGAAGCTCACGAAAGCATTCGGATACAAACAAAATAACTTTTTTAATATTGGGCTAAGCAGCATATTAGATTGGCAAATAAGTTCATTCGGTTTAAGTAGATTAATTCGAACCATTATCGATAGAAATATACCCCAATCGTTGCAAGAGCTTGTTACGGCACTCAGTATCACATACGAATGTAGAAAATTAATCTATCCAGTGTGTTAAAGAAATTGTATTTCATCCTGCACTAAGAAACCGAACGAATTTATTTGCAAAACCAATAATTTTCTATGGGATGCTAGAAAACTTAATTTACTGTGTAAACAAATTTGTGATACATTTTTAGTGGCTGAAAATGCGAAGAAAAAGTAAACGCCAGATTTCGTAACTCTTTTATTAAAGTCTCTAATAAAAATTTAAAACACCTCATTTGTAGATCTAAGTAAGCTTTATGCATGTACAAAGTTACGTAAAAATCATTTATGTTGCTGTGAGCTATAATAGATATAAAGTGAAGGAAATGATAGGTGTTTTCAACTCTTGCCACACAACTGAGATAAATTGAAGAATTTTTACATGTCTTAACGTGTCCCACTTTCACTGCTTTTCATGAAACATTTTATATAAATATAACGTACTTAGATCTACAAATGATCTACAAGGATGTCTTAAATTTTTATCAAAAACCTTAATAAAGAAAAAAGTTTACATTTTTCTTCGCGATTCCGGCCAATAAAAATTTTTGTTACACATTAGATAGTAAATTTAGTGTTCTAGCATCCCACAGAAAATTATGTCTTTTAGTTCAATATTAAAAACTTGTTTTAAAAAACGTTCGAATACTTTCGCGTGCCACTATATATATAATTTTGTACACCAATATGTATTAATTTCACTGTATAATCAAAGCTTTAAAAAATATAAAATATCAATCTGAATCATAAGATACTGTTACACTATTCTTTTAGAAACACTGAATATGAAAAAATAATATTTTAACTCTAGTATCAAAAATGCAATTTAAACATACATTCCTTATATACACCCTGTTCAGTAATTTAAGTATTAATGAACACTTCTAAAATTAATGTAGAATCCTCTGATCAAGTATCATGATGTCTCGACCTCGTTGGTTTAAGTATAAGTTTCCCAGTATCGTCGCAGCTCATATTAAAATTATCAAGGACACTCCTAGCCCTTTGAGTAATGATACTTGGTGCTATCACTCTTCTATGTACACCCATCATAAATAATATTACTGAAATAGATTAACATTTTTCTTTGTTAGTCATCCGACACATCTATCAGTGCTACATTACTTACCTAAAATAATACTAGCAATCGTGAAGAATGGGTGATTGCATAGACTTTGCGTAAATGATACGTCTGGTGTATTTGGATCAGTCAGCCAATGCCATGCACCAACAGCAGTGCACACAGAAATAACACCTAACAGTACTGAGAATATGGATATATACATTTACTGATGAATCATGATAGAAGTTTATAAAATAAAAACATACTCCTCCATCGGAGAGTAGCAGGCTGTAGACTTGCGATCACTTCAGTAAGACGTCTCTCGAAAGCTTTTAAATCTGAAAGAGATAGAAGAAATACACGCAATAACCTCGAAATTACTTATCCCGGTTACAAGGTTACTTTATCATTGTTACTTTTCAGCGAGCATATTTAGGAATGAATTGCCACGATTATTCCATTTCTTTATTTACCTTCACACACGGTTTGATCTAAAGACATTTTTTACTCTCGGTTTGTCTACATTTGATCCGAACGGGTTGCAAACGATACTGGTTAAACAATCACATTGTTCGTGCCACTATCATTAAAATATTGAATATGAATCAATTAAAGAGATTTGTTTACATATAATTCATTCTTCCGTCTATGACGGTTTTTAACAACTTCTTTGTTTATAATTAGTATCAAAGGTTATGATGATACTGGATGATACTACATAGGCCCGTATTCACAGTCCGTGCTTAAGAATAAGACCGTCTTAAGCAAATGCTTAAGTCGCCGTCGCCGAACTTATTTGAGTGTGCAGCAGTGTGACCGCCAGGTTGAGCGGTTGAGGACGGGAGCCAACGAGAATCACCCCTTCCACTTACGCACACGATCGCTCCGTATCCGTGTGCTCCGAGTTCGGCTCCACTTCGACTCAGTAGAGAGAGAAGGCGAAACATCAGTCCATCGCTCTTGCTCTTGATGCGTTAAAATCCAAGCGGCACGCAGCCGTCAGTCGGCATCAGGAGCAAAAGCGACGGACTGATGTTTCGCCTTCTCTCTCTACTGAGCCGAAGTCGAGCCGAGCTCGGAGCACACGGATACAGTGCGATAGTGTGCGTAAGTGGAAGGGGTGATTCTCGTTGGCTCCCGTCCTCAACCTAGCCACACTGTATGCTACAATGCTACTTCAGTCACTGGATCGCACGCAGAGTGTCAGTGTTGTATCGAATGTCTCGACCGGTCTCGACCAGTGTCAGCTACTGTTCTCTCTAAAATGAGCGTGATAACAAAGAGAAATAAACAACGTAGCGATACCGTCAGCTTATTTTCGTTCTGATCAGTCTTGACATGCAAAAGGAACCGCTGTTTACTCCGCATACTCTTTTATTTGTGCACCTTCGCGAGCAGTCGTAGCAGAGAGGTTAGGGTAATCGCTGTGCCAGTCTCGTATGTACGACCGACCTGTGCGCGGAAGTTGTTAAACGATAGTAAACAGTTCTCTCGAGGGACATTGTCGTGCGTTAACGTGAAATGAAGTGGCTCGACAAAATATTTTTGTTCGTGTACGGTGAACTGTGTCCAGGCTGCAGTTCCACTGGCAGAGACTAAAGAATTGTAACTATTGGCGGAAACGGGTCACGCGGATGACGTAAGGTAACGGATCTCCGTATGGATAGATTATTTCTTTTTAAAAACGAGCAAATCGGCTGGACGAAGGAAGCAGCAAACGTTTTGACACACTTAGAAGCCCGCTTCCTTTACGCGCTAATTCATTCGACTTCCATGTGTTTTTTAATCTTGTATACAATCTATATGCGTCCCCATGTAATTGACCAGTTGACAATTATAATTATTTGACGCCGGACAGGATTTTACATACACGTTTATTTTGTACAGATTGTAAGGCGATCGAAGACTAAATGACACAGGGCTGAATTAAATACAAATGCAATTGGAAAAACAATGAATCATTTTTCTTATTTTATCTTAAATCATTGAGCGAATCCGAACCTGTTCTGTTGGCTTTCTCCAGGAGAGTACGTCTCGAACATTGATATTTATGTAATCGTTGAAAAACTTCCTCTCGAGACTAAATAAAAATCTCGGGCGTGTTACATTACGTTTTGATCTGATCCTTCGATTATATAACTGTGTATAATCGATCAAGCTGATCGTCCGAAATAATTAGCTACACCAATTTTTTTCTTCCACTTGGCGTTAGTGCGGTCGGTAGCGTATTTCGTGGCAAAGGTTAACGAACTAATTACGTAGTTTGCATTTGGAATCGGCGTTGTTAATCTCGCGTACAGCTCGCGGTAATAATGCCGCTGTAGCTTTAGTAAGTGTGTCGTGAAGCATGCGTATAAATTTCACAGCGCAATAGTGAAAGGGAATATAAGGGAAACTCGGACTTGACCTAAACGCCGGAGAGGGGTATATCCGTTTCAAGTGGTCTTCGTTGTGTCGAACCAACACTCGACTATTCTGATTGTATTTATTTATACACCGCTGATTTACTATTAGCATTGCCACGATTAATATCTCCAGTGAAACGTTCGAATTCGATCATCGGGGTTTTATCGAACATCGTAACGTTACATTGGCATCGTAAACTTTTTAACTAGGTCAACGGTATTATAATGTGATCGTTCAATGCCAGAAATGCAATAAGAACCGGTTTTTCCGTTCGGGCAACTTAAAAATCGTGTCATTAGGTATTCGGAGTAACTAGTCGAAATTGACGATTAAGGACGCGTATTGTACGCGTTTTATATTCGCGTTTTCGTTCGATTGCGTAATAAAGGTGTACGAAACGTTGCGATTATTCAGAGATGAGAATGGCTCAAAGAGAGGAGTAACAGAACTGTGTACGTCGATACCTCGGGCAATAAGAGAAAGTACCGAGCGTAATTAAAAGAGCATAAAAATCCAGAAGATAGAAACCATCGTACGTCCTTCCTACGAACTTGTTCCCAGCGAAATCTAATCATATTTCTCTCTACCAGTTTCATTCGACTTTTTTTATGTGAAATGCACTTTTTAGATTCACCATGTTCGTCGGTTCCGAGTATCGCTGTGTGTTTTTAAATTTTATAATATTTCTGTCGCCGGTAGCGTAGCCTTTGTCATGAATTTAAAATTCTTTATCCGTTTCACTATGCTTTTTCATGCTGAAGTTTACATGCAGTTCCGAGTATCGTGTCAATTTGTATTCTCGTACGTTTTTAAATTCAGAGACAGTTCTGTTCCTGGTAGGCAAAGCAGGCCTTTGTCGAGCAACGTGCAAAAAATGGTCATTGTCAGTAATTTTAATCTCTCGTTACACGTCGACGTACAACGCGGTTTTTAAAACTCGCAGTTCCGAGTATCGCGTCGATTGGTATCGGAAGTGTCCCAATTTCCGTTCGCGTCATTACCTCTTTTTATATCAATTTTTTGATATATAATCAGAAGTCGAGACGTTTCCCGTGATAATTCTGTTTCTGGTAAGAACATCTTTCCAGTAGCCTTCGTCGAGCAACGTGCAAAGATCAACAGCCATTGCCAGTCATTTTAATCATTGTACAAATTAGTTTACGTACAGCAGTACGCGTTGTGTACACGAGAAACGCGCGGTTCTCCGCGTTCCGCTACCTCGGCCCGAGTTGCTCGTCGTCAAAATTTGATGCCACGTCCTACCATTGTTCTTTACACAAATTCTTAATTCTCAAGGCAACGTTCTTAAGAGTCTGAGAGATGTTTTCAATCTCGAGTTTTGTAATTCGTAAATCAGAGAGTGTCAGGATGGATTACGTGGTTGACTCGTTGCGAGGTCGGAAACCGAGTTGGCCGGGTCAACACGGTTGGTCGATCGCGTCCCTCGACGTGAAACGATTCCGTTCGAACGCGAGGTCTCGATCGCCCGTTTGAATATTCGAAACCGCACGCGGACTTTCGCAACGTTCACGAAACGGACACGTTCGCAAAATTCCCGAAATTTCGTGTCGCAAAGGAGAGACAGTTTTCTCGGGAATTTGCGACAATTGGTCTTCGAATTGAATCACGTACGCAATATCCGTATTTAACCGCGGGCTTAACAATGCACGCTACGAATTCGCGTCACGCCCCGCCGGAAATTTCCGCGATTCAGTTTAGATCAGCGGCATTTCATGGTTCACATCGTATACGATTCATATCTCGAATATTGTTTATGCTTACTGGGTGAACTGCATCGAACGTGAAAGATAATTATGTTATTGCGAGAGCGCTTATTATTTATCGTAAACTGTATTAAAATAAATAACAGCGATCTCATCTGTAATTCGCTATCTCTCGCTGATTGCTCGAAATTGTTAGATAAACACGATAAATGAATTCTTCGAATTTTAATAGAATTCCATTTAAACGTGATTCACTTTATAATCTCGCAGATCAAAGGCTCGATGCAATTGATGCGTGAGAAATGACTAAATTGATTCATTGAACGAAATACATCGTGTTCGATGTAAACCGTAAATAATCATTTTGTCCCGTCGTTCTTTTCCTCTTTTTACTCCATCCCTACTCCGTTCTACTTCCGCTTTCTCCTTTGTCACGTGTGCAGCTCTCATGCGTTCTACATTTCACGTGTAATGGATATGTACATCCAGCACTCGTTACTCTTTTTAAATAAATTGACGAGTGATACGTGAAGAACAGGATATGTAATATCAAGAGTGCATCAATGATTACTGGAATCGTGATACCAGTACCGGATCTACATGACCGGACACAAATTTCTCTTCTATAAAAAGCAATTATTTCATGTATCATTGCTACGTTCGATTTTTATATAATGGACACGCTTGCGTCGTTGGCCAGTATCTCGAATGAAACTAATTGCAATTAGAAGGACACGTCCAGAAAGCTTAGACGATAACGAGCGTGTGAACCATGTCGCGACGAGATACTCACGACTTTTTATTTACAATTTGTTACAGAATCGTCGCGATAACATATCGAGGGACACTGGTTATCGTGTGTCCTCGCTCGTTTGAACTTGGCATTAATTTCTGAGAATCTTCGATTAAAACGAATTTGTAAAATGGGCGAGCGACGAGGCACGAAGGCGTTAGAACTTTGGTGTCGCCGGATAACCGAGGGTTATCCCGGCGTCAGTGTGCAGAATATGACTACTTCGTGGAAGGACGGTCTCGCGTTCTGCGCAATGATTCATCATTTCAGGCCCGACCTCATGTAAGTAAAAAGCATCGATTTAGTACTATGCATTAAGTATAGTCGGTCGTATAACGAACGGATGACATCGAACCGCGATTGCAACGCGCGCTGACAAATTTTTATAGACAATAACGTTCGGGAGAACGTAAAATTAGAACAGATCGAATTTTCATTCGATATTCTAAGGAGCTGTTTTCGCACTACGTTCCATCGAGTTAATCTTTTACAACGTTTTTCAGATTTTATTGCGTTTTCAACTTACCGGACTCGTTTAGTTAGTAAGTTATGTACTTCTGAAAGCTTTTGGTTTAATTAACCCCGCCAGTTAATACAGTTTGTACCGATGCTTCAATTAATCGTTCCCTGTTGTAAGTGGAATTCATTTTGTTCGAAGGAGAAATGCTCGTTTGACTGCGTGTGTTTGCTACCTAATATATCCAGCGATAGTTCGCGTATAGTAAGTTGAAGCTTGCTGTTTTAATTACATATAATTATAAGTGCATAGTGTCTATGTTTAGCCTTTCCGTGACGTATGTCGCTAATAAGTATATTCCCAGTTAATATCTACGAGATAAGAAGAGGAGCAAAAGTGTTTTTATTCATTGTCGCGACCGTATAACGGAAAAAGTTCGCATTTCTTAGTTGCTCGTGGGTTTACCTTCGCGATCCATCCTAATGATGGATTTGAATCCGGAGTTCGGTGCCGTGTACATAAATGAAAACAAGGTATTCGTTCCATTCCTGGTTCCAGTGACTTTGACAGTTTAAACAAGAACGACGTGTATGGCAACAACGAGCTGGCGTTTCGAATAGCGGAACAGCATCTTGGTATCCCGGCGCTTTTGGACGCGGAGGACATGGCCTCGTGTTCCGTGCCTGACCGATTGTCCATTCTCACGTACCTCTCGCAGTTTTATCAGACCTTCGGTGGTGAGTCTCTGCGACGATCTATTAATTATGAATTGAAGAGAATTTGTCGTACCACAAATTCCCCAATCGTTTTAATTGTAAATTCAAATTGTACGAATTTAAAATTGATCAACGAAAGTTCCGATCTTTTTATTTTACAATTTATGCGAGCCGACTGTCACTCTCTAACGTAGATCCACATCGAACAGATTTAATCGTTTACTTCTGACTGCACTTTACAAGGCACTGCTGTGTATGCAAGACTGCATATGCGATGAGCGTTGTTTGTTTTCGTCTGTTCAGGTTCGTCGCCGACACGTGTTCCAGTGAGTAGAGCAACAGATGCTATGGAAGAAAAGATCGCGCAGGTGCCCGAATCTTCGAAAGAAAAGGTACAGAAGCCTTTGTTATACGGAACGTAGAAACTGATCGACTCTTCTTCTTTTTTCGACGTTCGTTTCAGTCAGAGTTCCGTCGATCACGATTTAACTAATTCTTATAATGCAGCACGTTCAAAATGCCTTTGAATCTCGAATCGTCGAGACGTTCTCGATCAAATTATATAGTAGATCTCGTGTAGACAATTATTTTTGCTCAAAGAAAATAAGGCAGTCGGAAGACTCGTTTGAGTTACGCGTGAAACAAACTTGTGCTCTCTATTTGCATTTCCTTGTGTTTATACCGCGTTTACTCGTTCAAATAGACTGACGAAAACTCGCTATTATAGAGTTGGCAGCTTCTCGAGTTAAGCCTTATTTTAATTACTGACTTCGTTGATTCAATGAGAGAATACTCGCTATTTGATTTTTGGTAAGTTAAGCGCGTTAAGCCTATATCGCCCATATTTTATATACACTGTACATATCTGTTGTTTAAGCTTCTGTACAGATATCAGAACCCATAATATTTTTTTTACGATTTTATATTGAAACTGAGTCGATTCTTACACGCAGTATTTTATCGCGAGAGTCGCTGTAATTTTTACGATGTATAATAAAGAAAAAGTTAGTTTAGTTTTTACCTCTTAGGAAAATGTCGTTCGTACCGTCGAAGAAACTGTTTGTATTGGGAATGTAATTACGAGTAAAAGAAAGTTAGTTCGTGGCGAGGTGATCTTTCGCTCAGCGCGTGAACACGTTACTTGGCTCTTCCTTTTTTTCATTTCTTCGCGCGTTCTTTGTATGTAATAATGGGTACTCCTTCGTTTTTCTCTCTCTCTCTATTAACTCCATTATTTCTTACAAGAGAGTTGGCGAGATCTGACGGAAAGATCAGAATCCAACGCCTTTGTAATTACCAAATAAACGATACCTCGTCCCATTTATCTTTTACCATTGTTTCCATTTCATTCTTTAATCTCGTTTTGTGTGTGATAACGTTTGAAATTACGTAGATAGAATTTGAAAGCCATTATGTATCGGTATTTGTTCCATAGACGGATTCCCTTAGATTTAGGTACAAACTCAAAGTGCTCTTAAGTCAGACACGGGTGTCGAGAGAAGAGTGTGACCTAGCGTACAATACTGTTCCTCGCCGACAAATAAATCTGCTAAAAGCGTGCTGAAACTAGATTGGATTTCTAACGTATCAATCGATAGACCTCGAAGAAAACCCTTCCCGAGTCTCGACCCTCTACCCTAATTATTAGGGTAATCGCAGACCGTAACTTTGGCTCAGGGTTTACGTGGAACTCCGTTAGAGCTGATAGGAAATTCCGAAGAAAAGAATCACGAAGATCGAACGTTCACTGCTACGATTGTTAATAACTTGGTAATTGTAGTTCGAAGCGAATAAACGTAGTTAATATAAGAACGATTGTTTAAACCCTAGTTGCTCATTTAAGTCCCACGCGTGTTAAATGAAATTAACGGGTACTTTCTGTTAGGAGATCTATTCTCTTAGGGAATAACAGAACCATGCAGGATCAAGAATAAAGGAGCTAAAGAGAATTAGAATAGGACTCTTTGCCCTGTACTTCAAATTGCTAAGCTCCTCGCGTACGATGTTGATCAGAGTCAGCGATCAGTAATACTGAATGAACAACAGTTTTATGCCACTCGCAAAATTTTCACCTTAAGATAGAAAATTAGCCTGCTTTCATTCGCTCTGTTTACTCTCTTTTATAAGTGCTCTTTCTTCGTCATGCGTACATCGAGTCGACACGATTAACCAACGGTTAACTGCTTATTCTTTTCAAATACGCTCTCACACATTTAGATAGCGTACGTCCCTTCACCATCGGTAACCAAAGGGCGACGCCAGGACCCGCTTCATTCTTTAATTATTTTATGCGTACAATTTTTTTTTCCCGTCTTCAGTCTTAACGCATCGCACAAACCTGCCTACTATTTGGTAATTATCATTTTTGTAAACGCTTTTACGTGTAACTATGAAGCAACGTAATAATTTGGTTTAAGACTCGCATATCGTTCATTTTGTAAAAATTGTTTTGTAACGTTTATAATTTGCAATTAAAAATGTGCTTAAGGTAAGTCGACTGCTTTTAGCGAACTTCATTTTTTAACTCGATTGTAATGCATATTTGAAGGAACTAAATAAAGACGCTTGTCAGTAACCCATTAACATTATTTTTTCAAACACCTCCTTCTAGATCGAACGAATCCTGACTTTCACGATCATCTTCGTTCTAATCTGTATTTTATTTAAACTGCGCTTCGATCCTCGGTTTGGATCAAGTGAATCAATTATTATCCGCAGAGTGAAAGGTATCGGGTATTCCGAGGGAGAGCGTACGGAATTTCTTAATCCACTTCGATATTCGAACAAATCCTGTTTACTCTTGGGGTCTATTGTTTGTACGCAAATCGGAGAATTTGAACAAAGTTAGTTTCCTCGTCGAAGTATATTTGTGTTCATCGATCGGTGAAGTCGCGGATGGAATTCTTCCCATATAATCCGAACACGTTTTTACTTGTCTTACTACATATTTTTATTCTTCAGGAGGAAAGCTTGGACTTAGTGGGACAATATAAACCTGAAATATTCTGCTAGAAGGTAATTTCGCTTTGTCGTTTATCGTTTTGCATGCTGATTCGGATTTTTTTTAAATTAATCCTTTAAGTTCTTGCATCCCACTGCATGAATTTCACTAACTACGCCCGGCATCTCCGTGTATGGTACAAAGCGATCTTTCTGTGTGAAAACCATGAAGAATGGTCTTAACGAAGCCTGACTAAACCACTGGTTACTAAAGTTACATTTTTAAGTACACACGCTGTTTCCCTTCTTCTGTTCTTACATAATTCTCAAACGAACTTGATTCGATAGTCAGTATACTGCTACCATCGCGTTTAATTGTATTAGGATTCTCGTAGATCTTTTCCTTTTACTCTAATCATTATTCAGAGTCAGATGAATCCGTATCTATCGTCTGTCAATTAGGTTCAGACCGAATTATTCAATTTGTCATTCCGTTCGGGTTTTTCTCTTCTCTTTTAGAGAGTCTCAGAAGAATCGACGAAGAGTCAGTATTAATCTGCTCGATTTTAGTAAACCGTTAGTAACATTTGTAATTACTTCGTGTTACAAATTTTTTGTTCTTCTTTCGTATTCAGAATTCTAAAGACGGTCTGAGTTATTCGTTCTAACTGTTTTACTTCCATTCGTTCTACTCACACTCGTTCATTGATTGGGATCAGGAATCGACGTCGGGCCAGGATTTTAACGAATGTCGAATAACTGGAAAAAAGAAGGAGAGTCTAACCCAGGACTAATGCGAATTACTAAATCGTTGCACTTTCACCCTTTGCACTCGGTCTATTTTCTATAACAAGTTCGTATTGTCATCTTCAAGCATGACGTACGAGTGCAAACGGTTGAACATCGCTGCATAGAACAATAGCCAAGTAATAATTGAATGAAACGATCGGGGATTAAAAACTCTTTAGAAAGAATATCATTGAATGAACCAGGGAATCGTACGTGTGATCTGATTAATCGTCGCTCTCTTTACACGCAGTTATAAATAAACGATCGATGGATCGAAAGTGAAATTGTTTGAAATTCTACAGGAGGCGTCGTCGTGCTCGGGTATGCGAAAGGATCACTGTGCCGTCTGCGGACTGCCAATTTTCCTCGCGGAAAAGTTGGTGCTAGCCCGCGTCGCTTACCACCGTACTTGCTTTCGTTGCGCACGGTGCAGCAACCAATTGACTCCCGGTAATTACTACGAGACCGAGGAGGGACAATTCTGCTGCGAGACCTGCCCGGACGAGGAGATCCTCTCGTCGAGCGTACGGGATTTAGAGGAATCCGTGACGAACAGCGGTACCGAGAACGACGACCACGACTCGTCTTCGAAGCTGTCCGGCAGCGACGACGACAATATAATTAAACCAACGTTGCCCAATGACCCGACGAAAAGATATGACCACGATTCCCCCGTTCCCGACATAATCGCGCAAACCTCCCGGCTCCGTTTGAACTTCATCGCGAATCAGCTGCTCTCCGAAGAGACCGATAACTCGGTGAGCGAATGTGACAATCATTTGACGAATCATTCTTCGAATCTAAATACAGAGAGCCCGAACTCGGTGTCCGCGATTAATCACGGGGGAGAGGAGAAAAAGGGGGAGTGCGATCGTCTTGCCGCGAGTTTGGACTTAGAATCTCGTTTAGACGAGGAAAGTGTCGGAGAGGAGAACTCGAGGGGTCTGGTTCAGGGCCAGTCGGGTATCGAGGGTTCTCCTCATAAATCGGTGCTTCGCAGCGACGATAAGGAACGCGGGCCCAGTTCCTTGGTTCAGGAGAGACTTAAACTGTTCGAGAGTAGGACTGATAGGTTCGAGAATAAGAAGTATGATCGAGGTGTCAAAACGTTTAAGTCAGAGGTGCACGCTAAGAAACGTGACGATCCGACGTGTCCCGTTACGACGAAGACGGTCGTTGATCAGGTGGATGCCTCGGAGTCTCCGAACTCCGAGAGCCTCGGTGCGGCCGGTTCGGTCCAGGTGCTTTCCCACGAAGTGCCAAATCTGCTAACAGTACCTGAAGATTCAACGCCGAGTGCTTCGGAAGAAAAGAGTAACGAGGACGATACGCGCGTAGATCTCGCGAGCGATACCGTCGCAACGAACGTAAGTGACAACGAAGACTATCCGGAGGATCTAAATCCGTTCAACGTCGACGAAGAGGAGAAAACGGTCGACTCTAAAGACGTTTCGAAGACCAGTGGTAATTCGACGAATCCTTTCGGAGAGGAAGAGGAAGAGGAAAAGGAAGAGGAAATAGTGAAGAAGACTGAATTTGTGCCACCAAAACCAGCCACGAGAGTCAACGTCGGTAGTGCTAAAGCTAATGAACTTACGGATAAACCGGCGAAGAGACGTTTAGTGGCGCCGCATATCAATTTGAATCCCTTCTGGAGCGATGACGATGATCACGATAGTGATCTCGAGCCTGCTGGGAAAACAGCCACGCCTGTGCCTAAACCGCGTACTTTTAAGTACGTAACAAATTATTTCACGCACGTTTTCCTCGAACTAGATTACCTTTAATACGTTGTCTAGCAATCTCTGTTAGATAAAAAGAATCGCTTGCAAATTGGAAAGCGTTTTTTTTTTAACGACTTTCAGGAGCATTCAGGAGATAGGTATGAGCGAAGGAAGATTGAATCGAAGTCATAATGATTTGTACGCGTCGAACAGTTCCTTGAAAAGCACGGAAACGAGTATAAGTTCCGGAGGGACCTACAGAAAGAAGAAACAGGCACCGTTGCCACCTAACATGACAGAACCGAGCGTGTCCGATCAACGTACGCCGTTCAAGTCGCGGAACGTTTCCACTGGATATCACGTAATTTATTAGAACCATTATGGAAATTCATTGTCGTTCGACTCTCGTTACGTTGTTTCAAGCAGTTTGTCGAATAATAAAGCCGTATTAATTTTGTAATACTTCTCGATCGAAACGAGAAGAATGGCAATCGAGGAATTGATCAGTCGTACGAAATGATACTTGATATCGCGTGTTCGTTACTAGGATTCACCTACACACTCGACGCCCAAGGCGAGAAAGACGAAACCTGCTCCTCCTCCGCCGATCGCGACCACGTCTACTTCTGAACAATCTCCGATGAGCAAAGCGGCGAACAATGAGAACAGCTTGTTGTGGGAAGATCAGAAGACCAACAAGGACGAAGCGAATAGGAACAGGCAAAGTTTCGGTCAGGTATCCTGCGACGAATACAAACCGTATTTAGACAAAAGCGTCGAGGGGAAGTGGAAAAGGAAAAAGGGACCTGCTCCGCCCTGTCCGATACCCCATCGTAGGAAAGTAAGTGTTCGCTTTTATTTCGCGATTTTAACGTTGGACGCATGCGAAACTTCACTAAAGCCTGGGCAGTAGCAAAGTTCTTCGGTATCACCGAGTTCCTGATTTTCAAGTGTCTGTGCATGGTATCTTCTAGATAAAGGTAATGTCCCTTAAGGACGTTAAAATGGAGTTAGATGAGATAGAAATGCAACAGCAGGGCTTAGAAAAGCAAGGTGTCCGATTGGAACAATTGATAAGAAGCAAGTGCGAGTCGGGACCCAGAAATAACGGTAATTGCGTTTTTCACCATTGCATCGAATGACTAGTATTTTTCTAACGGTTAAAGAGAGATCGTAAGACTTTGTATGCAACGTTCCGTCGAAAAAATTGCAGATGCTAGCCTCGGGACAGACGTAGAGGAATTAGTCTTAGAGTTATTTGCTTTGGTGAACGAAAAGAACGAACTGTTCAGGCGGCAGGCCGAATTGATGTTGCTCCGAAGGCAGCAGAGGCTGGAAGAGGAACACGCCGAGATCGAATATCAAATTCGGTGTTTAATGTCGCGGCACGAATCGACCAAAACGGACTTCGATAAACAGAAGGAGGAAGCATTGATTCAAAGGTACAGCTTCTCTTTGTTGATAAATATATATTATTGAATCTTTACGCGCAGCGTGCAATGTGAATCAAAAACTTCTATAGGGGAAATATTGTCTAATTTGTAAGTTTCTTAATTCGTGTATTAGGAAATCGATGCATAAGTAAGGATGCATCTTTACCCAACGAATATTAAAATGTTCTGACTTTTACTGTTAGACTCGTAGAAATCGTGGAGAAACGGAACGAGATAGTGGACTGTTTAGAAATGGATCGGCGTAGGGAAATAGAAGAGGACCGGAGTATCAATCGACACATGGATCTGTTTGCAGGTAAACGAAAGTTTGCATTGTTTAATTATAAGTTGTATTGTATCGTTGATCATCCGATAGCCAAGAATAAAAACGAGTCTATGAACAACGAGGTGTCCGAGAAGAAGAAACGGAAACAAAGTAAATCGAAGGAGAAAACGAAGGAGAAGAAACTGAAGAAGACGTTTAAAAAGGACATCGACAAAGACGTCGATGAAATTGAATTGACGCTGAAGCGTCACACTAAGCGTAGGTGGTTTTGACTAACATTTATCCTTAAGCATGCGACACTGTGTAAGTTATTAGACTACTACCTCGAATTTTGTATTCAAAGCTTTTTCTAAACTATCCACTCTACGGAAGCTGCACAGTTAGATTGTGAAACTCGTAATATTTTCAAATGTTCCATCCAAATATGTAAGATTTACAACAATATACATGAAATGTTCACACGTATAATTATTATTTCAATACGAATTCTGATTCGCCGTTTTTGACACTTTTTCTTACAAGGTAAGTGAAGAGCCATGCATTTAAAATTATCTATTATAGTGTAGTTAGTTACCGTTCTTCGATTTGTTTTCGTTGAATCTCGAATACCTCGCATACTCACGAACAGTCGAATATTCCCCGAGAATTTAATCGTCCAATTGACACAGAGCGGCCACTCCTCTCTTAATCCAATGTACCTCATCGATTCGTGTCGTTAGTAAAATATATAATACAAAATTGGAAGAATGACCGGTGGTGGCTAAAACCCCGCGTCTTTCGCTCGTCTTGTACACGGGACAATGATACACGTTTCCGATAACGAACTGGGCTTTTACCCCGGGTTTCAGCCATATTATGGGAAGCAGATCGAACATAATTTTCGGCTTCGATTCGTCCATCTCTTTGGTCTCCCTGTTCCATCTCGCTCCCTCCAAGAACAGGCCCTGAAATTTCCAATTGCATCTTCCAGTCGCACTTTACGTTGCCGGTGACAGGCTTACCCTTATGTAAACTCCGTACTCCGGCTCGCTCGGGACAGTATCGCCAGCTTCGTATGAAGTTACTTCGAATTCGAAGTCCAGTCTGTCGATCGGGATTTTGTGCTTGCGCGCGTAATTTTGCAAGACGCCCGTAAGAAACGACTGAGTAAAGAAGAATCCCGATATCCAAAAGACGGGCGGCGCGTCGTGGTCTATCCAGTCTTGAAAGAATGCAATTCTGTCCAATAAATCGTTGGTGTAACTTCCGAGGGGTTTCAAGGAAGGGTACGACTTTTTGCCCCAGGTAGCAGGTACTCTGCCTATACTCATGCTGAAGAAGACCTCTTCCAGGTCGGAGGACATCAGAACCAAACCCTTGATAGCTTTCTGTACGTCTACCAGTGTACTTCTGATCACGTCGATCAAACTGTTGAACCTAATAAGCTCCTGACGGAGAACAGTGTTCATGCTGTTCATGTAGAGCACCGGGTACTTCTTCGATACCTCCAACACGTTGAATCGCGAGCGCACTTTCGTCAAAATGTCGTCGCACAGAGCGTACACCAAATCGTCTACGTCTCTCTCGACTCCGGCTCCAGTTATGTGCGGCTGAGTCAACAAAGCTCCTCTGAGTAGCTGCGCCGATTCCTGATTATCTTTCGTTATGTCCGCATTCTCGTGCAGACCGTACACCTCCGGCTGTTGATTAATCGGCAGGCTACGAATATACTGGAGACATCCCTGGTAGTCAGTGTACTCGGGCAGACGGTATATGCAACTCGGTGAAAAACAGTAGCTGTACAAATAAATGATGCGTGAGCAAAGAACGTATAGTAAACGTTTTTAATGGAATCGCAGGACTCACTTCGGATCCTCAATGACGTCGTGATTGTAAAAATTCTTTAATATCGCATTCAACAGACGTCTGTCCTTGTCGTCGGTCACGCGACCACCGTAATTGCATTCACCCGTTAAGTACAGAAGCGCTTCGAACGGCACATCGTCGTAGTCGTTTAAAAACAGCTGAGGAAGTGATAATGAAATGCACGTTTACCGATACCCAGAAGCTGACTCTGTGACCTTACCTGCAATTGCAAAACGCTGATGCGCAAATCGGATTCGTTGAATTCGTACGGAATGTTCCAACCCAGGGGACCAAAGTTCCTTCTCTCTTGTACGACCGCGTGGAAGAAGCACAGAGCGAACAGCAGCCTTCTCCATTCGTTTATTTTGGTGCAGTTGTTGAAGAACTTGAGATCTGATATCGGGTCGTTCATAAAACTTCTCAACAAGTTGTTCTTCAATCCTTTCGGTGGCTCGTTGGTCATTTTGACGCCGTTTTGTAGGATGGAGATAGGAAAGTCTTTCGACGGGTAACTGGTCAACCACAGTCGGAACTTTGGGTGGGTGTTCTCCGGTATGATGATCTCGTCGCAGATTCTGTCCAACTCCGGCATCCACGAGACGGCCAAATGACAGTTCTGAAGCACCACCCACTCTCCGCTTTTTATACCCCTCTCGATCATGTTCCACGCGATCGGTCCCTGACCCTGACCCAACGATATCGTCATCAAGTTCTCTTTCGGCACTCCGTAATCCTCCGAGAATCGAATTAGTCCGGCCATCGGATCGGAACCAGGCGAGAGGACGAAAATGAGAGGCGTCACGTTAGTGGAGTCGTTGTAACAAGCTTGAAGATCGAACGGTGGCGGTTCGACGAAAAATTGCCCCATGTAATGAATGACGAACATTCGCACGGCGGACACGATCTTGTCCGGCCTGATGCACTTCAGTATCACCAGCTTCGTCATACTCTCGCCCACGTCTTCGAACGGCGGAGGAAACGATTCGTCCTGGGGATTCGTGTAGTCGTAGTAAACTTTCCATTTGGCCGTCTGCGTCTCGAGCGAGTGTTTGAACCTCGTGAGGCCGGGTAAATTCATGGCTCCGACCACGTCCGCCCAAGATTTATCTGTGAGCCAAGATGGATCGGGATTCGGGTAAGGATTGTCCAGGGCCACGTCGCCTGTTAACAGAAACGTCCACAGCTCTTCTTCCACGTCGTCCCTCGCTCGCATTAAACCGACGCACAGGACGAAAGAGAATATCAATTTGTCCTTCTCGAACAGAGAACGACACACGTTTCTATAAATGCTGGCTGTGAAATATGTGTTCAGGCTGTGTATTCGCTGCGCCAGATCTTTGCTCTTCTCGCTGTTGGCTATCGACATCTCGTACAGATGAATGAACCACGGTAACGAGTACTGGTACATCGGGTCGATGTTCGTCAATTCGGAGATACAGAAGAACAGCACGGAGCCGTGCCCGGACACCGGTTTATACTTGTTACGAGCGTTGTCGATCTCTAACGCCGTCTTCGCAGCTACCTCTTGCTTAGCTTGGATGTCTTCCGACAGCATCTTCGACGTCGACAGTATCGTGATCGCCGTTTCGTCTTCCAAGATGTTCCCCTCGGAAGCTGACAGAACTTCTAAGATCTTGTCTTCGATCTCCTTCAGTATTCTCTTGTTGTTCGCAGCTTCGACGATCAACTGATTCTTCCGCTCCTCGAGAACGGGCAGTTCCTTAGCCACGACGATACCCAGTAACTGGTCCTGAAGCCCCTGCGGGGTGATCATGAAGTTCAGCAGCGTCACTTTTACGACGACCTCCGGCAAGTAATGCGGATTCCTCAGACGCGTCGTTATGTAAAATCGAAAGTCCGGACTGTACTCTATGACGTTCTCGCCGAATTTTATGTACGAAATACCGCGTTCCTTGTACACGTTTTTCAACAGCACCGGCTCCAACACCGCGTCTATCTCTTCCAAGATGTTTTCCAACAACACAGGTATACCGAGTTGTATACTAGTGTCTACTATCCTCACGTAACTCGGATCGGACAGTTTGATCACCGCTAGATTGTTCTCCTTCTCCATGTTCTTGATCCACTTGTTAGCCTGATTCTGAGGATCGATCATCAGTGGCCAGCGATCCGCGTTCTGTACGATGATACCGTTGTCCACGGAGAAGTTGTCCGCTGGCAAACCGAAGATGACCCAAGCTCGGATCTCCACCGGTTTCCCAAGAATATCTATCAGACTGAATTGTTTGCTGCAAGGAATTCCGACTTTCATACAAGACTCGTGCCACTGGGAGATCAGTTTGTTTCTATAGTCGATCGTGAAAGCTCCGAAGTAAGCGATCACACCGGAGGACAGTAGAACGTCACCGATCACGTTACGAAGACTCGCGCCCAATGTAGCTGCAGCTTCCTGCCACCTGTTCTTCTCACCGCTCAATCCGCCCAACAATTTCTCAGCTCTGTCCAGTTTCTTCATGCAGTACTCGATCTGATCCTCGAGCTTCTTCTTCTCTCTCATGCATTCGGCGAACTCGTCGTTCAACGACTGCAACTTCTGACTGACGTCTTGAAGAAGCGCTCTCTTAGCGTTCAACGCTTCCATCTGCGAGGCGAGAGCTGCCTCGGCCTCTGCCAGCATCGCCTGTTTCGGTTTCACGACCTTGATCACGCGATCGTACACCTCGATTGCTCGCACCCATTTGCAGAGACCCTCGCAGGCGGTCGAGACCTTCTTGATAGCCTCTGGTTGGAAGCTACGATCGTTCATGAACTTCTCGCGAATCCTCTTCATGTACGCCGGCGGTATATTGTCCTTGTCGAAGTTCTTCAGGCTGTCGAGGAACTTCATGTCACCCAATATTCTTATGGAAGCCGGCCAGTAGTCCTCGACGGTCTGACCAGTCGCCGGGTCCTGCACTTTCTCAGGTTTCACTCCCTTCAAAACGCACACAGCTTCCATGACCAGCCTCACGCCTGCCGGCGGGCTCTTCATGGAACGCACGATACTGATGTCGGCCGGTTTCAAAGTGTCCAGCGCGGCCAAGGCAGCTTCCAACGCGGGCGAAGCTTCCGCCAAATCGCTCTCGCAGTCGTCTTTTATCGCCTGAGCCGCGGCTGCAGCTTCGTTCGCCAACGCTTCTTCGGCCGCGACGACTTCCTTCCTAGCTTCGATATTAATAGTGTCCTGTTCTATCCTGACCATCAGCTTGTTGCTCAGCTCAGACTGAGCCAGAAGCTTTGGCTGCAGCTCCTGTAACTCTACTTTCATCACTGCTATCTGGCTCGCGGCGAAATCCAACTTTTCGAGCCCGGTCTCGTATCGCATCTGCTGCAGCGTGATCTGGTCGATCTTCCGGCCGTACAAGGAACAAAACGATTTTATCAGCTGCAGGAAGCTCGTGGGCGTTATGTAATATCTCCTGCCCTGCGTTCTGTAATAATCCTCGCTGGCCACGGCGATGCTCGTGTGAAATTGTTTCGATACACCGACGCACTTTTCTCGCAGAGCCTGGCTGATGTCGACGTTCTTCAACGACATCCGAGCCACCTTCTCCAGAGCGTCCTCCGGCCAGATCATGTACCAGTCGATCGTGCAACAATTGATCAGAGACGGGAACATTCTCAAACGATTTCGGAACTTGTCTCCTATGGGAGACATCGTCAGGATCCAGTGGAGATTCTTCATTATTCTCTCTAAGAAGAGCTGATGAAGTATCATCGGTGTCACCTCGATTTTTCGTCCACCGGTGCTGTGGATCACGTTCGTCATCTTGTCTAAGATCTCGGCTTTCTCCTCGGTGTTGTACAAGTTCGGCACGTCGCCCGTGTTCAATACCATATTTATGTCTTCGACGAAAGACTCGTCGTTGATCTGGTGATCGCCGAAGAGGAACGAAGTGGACTTTCCGTCGCAGCCTACTCGCAACAGCAAACTCTTCAAGTCCTCTCGCCACTCCGTAGGCCCGTAAGCGGTGGTGATTTCTATTTGATATATCAAGTACTCGCACATGCTGGTCGCCAACTTGGCGCAGGAACTCCTGCCGGATCCACCCATTCCTATCAACAGAGCGTGTCCGTTCTCCTGTAGCAGGATTCGCGATACTCGAGAAATGTGCTCGACCGCGAATCTGAACAACACCAGGTTCATCGGCGTTTTCGACAGCATGTTGTACTCCGTCAGATAGTACTCCATCTTCTCTTGAAGATCGTCCAAATCGACCACCTCGTCGTATAATCTAGGGTCAGCGTCGGGTTCCATGTAATTACCGAAGAACAGATCGCGTATGTGAGAACTCTTTATCTCGTTCTCTTCTTCTGTTAACAATCTCGCGAGGACCTTGTTCAACGGCTGTCGCAGTTGATCGTAACAGGTGTACTGCACCATACCGAACAGTAATTCCTGATCGTTGCTGTCTACCAATCGATCGTGGAACACTCTGTACACCTCGTGAACCCAAAGTCTGATCAGTTTGTCCGGGTCTTTCATCCTCACCGCCGGTACCATTAATATACCTCTGATCACTCTGCTGAAGTCCCGTAAATTGAACGTGTAATGACTCTTGGCCGGCGTCGGAAGAAAAGTTTTTATAGCACCGAGGAATATGTCCATGGTCGCGGTGACGACCATCTTCCCCAGCCTGGAGACTTCCGGAACGAACCCTTTGGCAAAATGAGTGTCCAGAATCGAAGAGAAGATCTTCGTCATGGTCGCCTCCTCGAAGAAGTCGATGCCGACGACGTGCATGTGTCTGGTCAGTCTGGGCGTGACCACGTTCGAGCCACCGCCGGGTGGTAGCATCGCGCAGATCAGATAAATGTCCACCAAGTGTAGCATCGTCATGTCTTTCAAGTCGAACCAGTGGCCGTGGTCCACCCATTGACGGATGAGCTCGATGGGTGGCTGAGCACCGTAGATCTCTACCTGCGGCATGCTGAGATCGTCGACGAACAGCACGCATTTCTTGCCCATCGGTGGACCGAAAACACCTTTCCTTCTACGATCCAACTTGGACATGACGATCTCCTGGGTCTGAGCCGCGGTGGTCCGAGCGCTGAAGTTCACGATGTTCTCCAGGTACAAGTCCCTCGGTAGGAATTGCAGGTAATTCATCACGATGACGGACTTGCCGGTGCCGGTCGGGCCGACGAATAAAATGGGTACAGCTTTGTCGACGAGATTTCGCATGAAGAAATACTGAATGACTACTTCCGTCGTCGGTACGACTAATTCGTTGGTTTTCGGATCTGGCAACAGGGACATCTGAAATAGGAGTGGGAATATGAGTCCTTGACTTTATGAAACGGAGTAATTTTATTAATACCAGCAGAGTGGTGTCCATCCAAGGTATCCACTGCCCATTGTTTCTCTTGTCGTATATCCAGTCGTAAACGATTCCCTTGTCGGGGAAGATCTGCTGTTTAGTCAGTTTAAACGCTTTGGGTTTGGGGTATTCTTCCTCGTTCCCGAGCACCAGTCCCCTTAAGTATACGTCGAAGATCTTCCTACTCTCGCTGGTCAGCGTCGAGCACATACCCCAAACGACGCTGAACAACAAAATGCATTGGAGCCAAACGGTGCTGACCTGCGTTTCTCCGTCCAGCATCGCGGTGAGCAGTTTCGTGAACGACTGAAATTGCAATTTTTCACGTCTCGATTCTCTGTAATCTCGTGCAACGTAATCGTATCGATGAAAGTACTGTCTCGACTTACCAGAAACATATGAAGTTCAGGCATCTCGATGAATTGTTTACAATATTGTTTGACGAACAATAAAACGGGTTCTGTCAACCATTCGATTAATTCTAAAATCAGTTCGTACTGCTCCAGAAGCAACTTCTGTTTAAGATACGTTTTGTAGGAGCCGAAGAGAGCGTGCCAACCGAGTTGAGATGGTTCCATGTAAATCATCCCGCATCGGCTGACGGTGGCCGGCGAGGCGTGCTCCAAATCGGCCGGTTCGAACATCAAGTTCATCTTCGACGACATCTGGATAATCTCTCCGGACATCAGACAAAGTTTCTTGTTGTCGTCGAGCACTGTGTTCATGCTCTCGATCCATACGGCGTCCACGGGTCCGTCAAAAAGGATCCACTTCCGTTCGACCGACATACTCTGCGCGTATTCCCTGAAGATGTTCGCCAGGACACCGTCGCTCCACTCGTGCGACACAGGGTCGAAGCTACCGTACAACTGGTCCAACGTGATCGCCTTCGGATTGATTATTTTATAAACCGCCGGCGATTCCCTCATCGTGGCTCTCCGTTTGCCGGACAGTTCGCCCAGAGCCTCCGCCAAGCACTGATAAGCTTTCGTCTTCCCGGACAGAGGCTGGCCGACGATCATCAGTCCGTGACGAACCAGTATCATTTCGTAAATTTGAATAATTTTCTCCATGTACCAGTCGGTCGATTGGAGATTGTGCTTCTCTAGAACGACCTTGGCCAGATCTATCAATTCGTCTCGATCTGGTTTCGGTAGGCTGACGCCCGGGAAAAGATCCGTGTAGATACCATTGAACAGAGGTATGTCGTGAGCCAAGAATTTCGGTAGATTGACGTCGATGATCGCTCGGAGGACTAAAATCGCCTCGTTCTCCGTCGGATACTTCAGTTTCAAATTGCCAGCGGCCGTGAGCACCGTCTTCACGGCTCGCATCCCGTAATCGTAATGATTCTGCGAGCTCAACTGTTCGGAGCAGAGCTTGTACGTGTGAACGATCTTCTCCGCTTGGTTCTTCGCGTCTATAAAGCCGAACGAGTACAGAGTGATCTCTCCTATCATAGCGTAATCCGGTACCATCATCGCCACCGTACGGAACAGGACTTTCAAGTTGTCGGGTAACTCCTGACGTCCGGCGTAACCAGGATTCATAGTTATAATGATGTAGCATGTGGGATTCAGTTTCAACTCCGTCCCCTCGAATACGAAGTTCTCCAACCCCATACTTATCGCCATTTGTATCGTCAGGATCTGTTGCGCGATCACCGAGAGGACTTCCAAGTCTATTCGATTGAACTCGTCGAAACAGGACCACGCTCCCGACTGCGCGAGTCCCTTGAAGAATTTACCCATCGCCTTGTAATCAAGGCCGTCGGAACAGTTGAACACGACGCACTGTTTAGCGACGGCTTTCGCGAGATCTTTGGCCGTCTCCGTTTTACCGGTTCCCGCCGGTCCCTCCGGCGAACCACCGAGGTTCAATTTCAACGCGCTCATCAACGTCCTGTAGCATCGATCGGTCAAAGGAGTTATCACGAGCCTCGGAGTATTCCCTAGATACTCGTACGCGTACGAGACGTTGGTCGTCACCATGCAGACGAGGGCGTCGTCGTCCACCCAGTAGTATCTCAGTTGCGATATCCAGTCGAAGTCCATCACGTCGCCCACTCTCTTGTCGACGAGCAGACGCACGACGTCCCGCGCGTGCACGTCGATCACTATCAGAGCGTTTATCGTTATCCTGGCGCCAGGGTCTAACTTGCCTCTGACTATGGTGACTGTTCTTTCTATTTGACTGTTGCACTGTAGGAGGTATTCCGGAGTCGAGCGAGTCTCGAACGATTCACAGACCTCGCTGGTCCAGTGTATCTGGCTGCAGCAGATCACGAGCTGACCGGGCCAGGAGAACATCCATTCTTCCCTGATCGTGTCGAAGTAAGAGATGATCGCCTCCTTGGCGATGTCGCGAATCGAGGCGAGCATCTGCTGTTCCACTTGTAGCAACCATCTCTCGACCATTCCTTTCGCGTCGGCTGGATAGATCTTCGCGCTGAGCGGAACGTATTCCTCTTCGTCGGACAGCATGCCGATGATCTCTTCGTCGGGAGTGATGCGCAGTCTACTGATACCTTCGAAGCACTTCTTCAAGTGCGGTTGCACCCTTTGAGGATCCTTCGTCTCGGACAGTATCTCTAGCAGCTCGTCGTTGGACAGGAAGAAGAATCTCGGGAAGAACAGGCGTTTCTTCTCCAAATACTCGTTCAGACCTTTCTGTATCTCCTCTAACAGCGTGTTGCACAGTATGAAATCTTGTAGCATGTTCAACATCGCGGTAGCTTCGAGCACCCGTGGATTCTGGACGACGTACGACATGATGTTACGCCAGATCTTGTCCATCCTTCGGAAGTTCTTCGCCTCGGTCGGCATCTGCCGCATGATGTCTTCGCTACTGAATATCGGCTCCAGGTACATCCACGTGGCTTGGCACGTCAACCACTGATCGATGATGTCCTGCATGAGCAACAGCTTGTTCTCCCAAGCCTGCATCTCCTGTTCGAACGCTTTTATGAACGGTGAACTTCTCATCGTCTGCGCTTTCAAGATATGATCGTCCAACAGCAATTGAACGTCGTCCACCGCGGTCAAGATGAAAACGCCGGTCTCTCGATAAGGCGTGAAGTTGAACTCGACCTCCTCCCACTCGCCTTTCATCCTCTGCAGATTCTGAAGAAGCCCGTGCTCTTTGACGGCGGCGGAGGATATCTCCTCGAGTTTAGCAACGTGCACCAACAGCCCCAGCTCCACCATGTCCGAGAGGCAACTCGCGTCCGTCAGAGCGATCTCCACGTTCGCGACGGCACTCATTTGATCCCAATGCCGTTTCTCCAGTCCCGGAGTGCATATGATTTGCAGCAGAGGGATGTACTGTTTGAATTTGTCCACTTTTCCTCGAACCACCTCGGTGATCTTCCGCGCCCCAGGAATGTCCGTGATCAAACGCGCCAGTCTGTACAACGTTCTCCAGATGTTGTCCGTCTCGTCTTTGACGTGCTCGGCGTCGAGCCCGTAAAACGGGCCGTAGAACCACTTGTCGTAGTTCACGTGGAAATCTAACACCGTGTGCCAGAGCGTGTCGAGGGAGTTGACCACCGAAGACATCACGGGTATATTTATGTACGGGCTCAGTTCCATGTCTAACAATGTCTCCTCTTCGTTTATTCCCTCGACCTCGTTTCTCATTTCTTCCATCCCTCTGGAGATCTCCTCGATCTCTTCGACCGCTTCCATCATCTCGTCGATGGTCAGCATCGGCGGGTCCTTCTTCTTGAACTGATCGATCGCGTACTTCATCGCTTGTACCCTCTGCTCGAAATTCTCCCTTCGTACACGGAGCACTTCCTCGAGGTACTCCTTCCTCATGTTCAATCTGGTGGTGGCCAGCTCCATGACGGTGTCCATCTCCTTCGGCCACGTGATCGTGCGCGTGTTCAACTGTATGTCTTCGTTCGTAGGCGGTTGGTAATTGAACAGGAACAGGATCAACTCTATCGAACGTGCCAGCTGCCTGCGCAAGTTGAACATCGTCGAGTCTCGACTCTCGCACAAGAAATTGTACAGCTCGACCAACTCTTGAGTCTTCTCGGGCATCTTCGAGATGGTCTCCGCTATTTTATCGAAGTTCGAGCACAGGTCACGATTGTTCGCTCGCAACTCGTCCGCGAAGAAATCGCAGATTTGCGTGCGTAGCTCGTAAAGAATTTGTCTGAGAACATCGTTTGTGGTCGTGCAATCGATCTCGACGATGTTCAGCGGTATCTGAAGCGAGAAACACCCGTTTGTAACAAGAATCCTTTCCTCTCTCATTGTGTGCCTTTACCTTGTCGCGAAAGACCCAGATCTCTTTTCTCAGTTCGTCGTATCCCTTTATCTTTTGTTCGAATTCGTGCAGGTACGGCATAGGATCGATTTCGAAGAAGTTATCCAAGTCTCGTTTCGCTTTGCCGTCCACGATGTACAACAAACGTTCGTAACATTTTAAGTACAATTGTGGCCCCGTGTGATGATCGCCGATCACGACCAACACGTCATCGATTATTTTTAAAACCTGAACGAACATCAATGCTGTTATTAAAGATTCAAGAAGCTGTCGAGAAGTTTGATTGTCGATATAAGTACCGATTCTTCGTATCGTGACACGTGGAAGAGACACTGCTGCATCTCGAGTTCGGGAAATAAGATCACTTCGATTTTCGGGATCTCCATCCCGACGTGCAAAATGTTGTCAACGCAATTTGAAATGATCTCGCGGACTTCGAAAATAGTCGGTCTGCAGTATAAATTCGACGTCCCGAGCTCCGGCTCGACGATCACTGTTACAAAGGGAGTTCTAAAATGTGACTACAGTAAAAATTCCGCACGTTCGCCACTGCGACAATTTTGAAACGATCGATCTCTTACTTAACAAACATCAGATCCTCGTAGTCACCTTCGAAACAATTTCCACCTCTATATTCCATAAAAAAATCTCGAATAATATACAAGGTTCTCATTATTATCAATCGTAACTGTTTAGATAAAAGAGTATTTACACTGCGAAAGTATTTTTCGATCAATGCTCTCGACGCATCGTGATGCGACTCGATCAAACACGACCAGGCGTGTTTCTTTTCTAAAAACAGTTCGGCGACATCGGCTAGCCAATGTTTGATCAACAGGTCCTTACTTTGATCGCATAAGGAATTTATTTTTGGTAATATTTCGGTGGCTAAGATAGGGAGCGGTCCTATGTCTCGGAGATTAATTATCGTTACGTCCTTATATCTAAACACGAATCATTTTTTACCATCCACGATTAATCGAGTATTTTCATCTCTGTGCTGCGGGAGGACTTACTTGAGGAAATATAAATTTTGAACGTCTCTCAATATTTCGTTTCCGATAAATAAATTGTATTGTATAAAATGACCAGCAGTTATTTTCGACTGATGCCACGGGACCGGCGCTCGTATATAAAAAATTGGATATTCCCATGGTGGACGTTTTATAATGAATCGTTTATAGGTATCGATAATTTCTATCTCGAATTGCACGATTTGTTCTTCGAAACTAGAATGAAACATTTTTTTTTAGGAAACCTTACCAATTCGCGCAGAGATATCGAAATCGAACGAGGTTTAATTAGAAATTTTATAGACGAACTCTTTTACTTTTCGCAGTCTATAAGGGATATGTTTAATTGCTTCCTCGAGATGCGTCTTGTCATAGTAATCCAAATCGCTGGCGTCCAAGCAATAATTTTTAAAATACAATGGCTTCACCTCTTCTTTCTCATCTCTCTTGTCAGCTGCTTCCTTCCTTTTAATGTTATCTAATATATCTGCGATCTTCTCTTCTACCGATCTCGGAATTTCGGCTTCGACTATTTCACGCGACTGTAAACGTGATGTTATCATTCGAATCATTCTCTTAATCGTGTAATTTCCGTTTCCTATTTCACGGAATCACGGATTTCGAGAAAATCGTAATACCTCTTTCTCCGGTGGTATCTGTTCGCGTTTTCTCTTTCTCAGTTTTCTGAGCTTACATCGTTTTACGTAATTCCTTTGACTCTTTTCCCATGACCAAGTACCATCTGCTAAATCTCGCAAACTAATAATATTACTCGACGAATACTTTGCGAACCTTGGAACGGCCTCCTGTTCGTCGTTTTCATTTTCGTTTATTATAATCTTCTGTCACAAAGAAAACTTATCTATATATATTGTTTCGTACAACTAGATCGTAGGAATATTTATTTAGTTATTTATTTCGTATAGGCAAATATTAATGTATTTAATTACCTTCATTTGAGAAAAGTATGTTAAACGTAAATAATGTCCGTGGAAGAGGGTGGAAAGTCGTAAACACGAAGGTAACTATGGCAACTAAGGCAAATGCTGTACAAATAACTAGTACAAATACTATCTTAGTTTGTTATATATTTTTATTAGTACAATAAACGAAATAAAAATTCAAAATCAAATATAAAAATAAAATTTACATTTTTATAATAATTGCGAGAGAGGTCCCATTTATTGATTTTCAAAATCATTACAATTACACTCTTTAATCATTGTAGTAACCAGAGAGAAAATTTTCTCTCTGCAGTAACATATTAATGAAACGCGTTGCTTGATTAATATTATAACAACGATCGATGTCTATAATTAGATAACTGAGATCCAAGGAGATCCGAAGAATCAGTTTCTCATCTTCAAGTTCGCAAACGAGAAAGAACTTTGTCAGCAGTGAAATAAATTTATTTTGCGTTGATGAAATTCATATGCGACTAGTTTAAATACTTTCTATGTTCTTGTCATTGTATGTAAGAGTTCTAACACAGCCTAAAGAAGGCTGTGGTTCTAATAAAAATTTATATCTCTAATTTATTGTAAAAATGAATAATTCTGATTAATAAATTAATGGAAATG